AAAAAGGTATCACCTACCAATTTATGAAAATATATTAAATAAATTAAGAAAAATTAAAGGTAGAAATTTTTGGGATAAATCCAACTTGGGGCGAATAGGTTAACCATAACAAGGCCCCCTATTTTCAAAGTGAAAAAGGGGAAAAATTATACTGGGGAAAAATGGGGATGGCAACAATTAATAAAAACTTGGCCCAATACATGTTACATTGTTTTGAAATAAGTAAGTGTCGAAAATTAAATTAAGCCATTAGTTCAGACAGAACATAAGAATTTCCAATTTTGCTTTTAGGGTTAAACCCATTATTCCATTTCCCCATTCATTATCCATCAAAGGCTTGAAAAGGGGCCATAACTTGGTTGCAAATGGAAGCCATTAGTTATGTAACTTTCCCAGGATATAATATTTATAGGATTAAGTAAAGTGGTGCTAAAATTTATAAGCCTTGTACAGGGTAGAACTTAAGAAAAATCCAACTTGCCGTTCTACGGTTAACCTCGTACGGACAGATGGACGGACAGAGGGACGGACAGTTCAATTACTATTATGCCCGGGGGCATAAAAAAATGTCATGAAATGTAGCAAAATTGTAAAACAAATTGGTATTTGAACTTCCATACAGAATACTTAATCCACTAACGGACTGTACAATAAAGAGAAGAAGCAAAGGGACGATTCAGCTATATGGCAGAAGAGTAATTTTTCCAGAAATTGTAACAGATCGTCAAATAAAAAACAACCAGTTTTCAGAAAGAAAATAAAAAGCAATTTTGGGGCACAGTGGGCCTTAAAATTTACCCTGCTGGTAGGAACAGATTCTAAACAATAAAAAAACTACATAAACACTGGGAAAAAAAAAACAATGGTAAAATCCTGACCCCATGTTTAATAAGATATTTATTCCTCTCTGCCTCAACATCAATTATTCCACCTTTGGCTTTTTGCTCCTCAAACATAGATGCCATACGCTCCTGCATTTCCAGTAATTCTGGAGTTGGTACGAAAACAAATTTATCCTCAACAGGTGACATTTTAATTCTTTAAAATTTTCCCAAGGGAAATTTCCTCGCGACTTTACGGAAAACAAGCTGAAAATGAAGGAAGTTTTTTGAGTTTTCTATTTTTTTGGGAAAAAATCCCACACTTTTTGCCTTTTTTTTTTTAAAGGGCCTTTTTAGTGTTATTTGAGGCCCAAGAGGGAAAACTGTTTTTTTCAGTTTATAAAATTTCCCCAAAATTTAAATTTTTTTTTAAATTTTTTAAATTTTAAATTTTTTTTTTAAAATTATTTTCCTTTTTTCCCCCCAATTTTTTTTTAAAAATTTTTTTTTTTGAATTTATTTTTTCAAATTTGAAAATTTTTAATTTTTTTGTTTATTCTAAAAAAATTAGGGGGAAAAAAAAAATGCAAAAATATTTTTAAAAATTGCTCAGTTTATAGGCCAAATATTTCCCCATCTATAACATAAAATGATATAATTAAATCAGAATGTAAAAAGCTTACCTTGTTAGCGACTGGAGTTGGCATAGAGTGGACCGGTACAATCTCCGGAGTCTGGGTCAAAACATGTGACACATATCTCATCAGACAATTCTCATGGAAATAATGGTAGCACTCGGTCTTTGTGAATTTTTCACCCTCGTGGAAATGTTCAAGGCAAATCATGCATGGACAGTGTGGAATATTGCCTGCCGTCAGACTGTCCTTTGCTAGCTGTATAAAAATAATAAAACAATTTTCATTAACAGTCAATGCTGTAAAATTACACTGAAAAACAAATTTTATCCATTAAAGTGTAAAGGAATGTAGAACTCCTATCAATTTTATTTGCAGCTAACACTTAAAACTTAAGAAGTGATGGCATGTACAGATACATTCTTTTTTTGAATGAAGCATTACATTGATAAAAAGGACACCAGTTATTTCTCTGTCATACCTTAAAGAGTAAATTTAGAAAAAAAAAAGTGTTAACTTATCTTTATGATATTTCTATAGAGAATAAGCCAAAGAAATAAATTTTGAGCTGAAAAGTAGGTCCACTGTCCTGCTGACCTGAAGTATGCAGTAACCAGTAACCATAGACAACAAAGGTCTTCTTATATGTAAGCCTTAGTACTTTAGGCTTTTTAGGTAACTAAGGATATTGCCAATCCTGCCGACTCTGTGAACTCACTCCAAGCACATCACAAAGAATAAAAAGACCAACTTAAAATTCTTAGAGTACCTAGAATATAGGCCCTGCTTCTTTATTTTCAATATCAAAGTATTTTCTGAACCACTAACCTCGATCAGTTCATAAAGTACCGGACCTCCTTTCCGTTCCTCACATAACTTATGCATATCTTCTCTCAAACTGAAATACATTGATTTAGAACTGAAATTCTATAAATCAAATTACAAGAAACGTACAGATTAGAAAGACTGTAAGTAGCACAACGTCCTTAAAATAATCCTTGGGATATGACATAGCTACTACATCATAATCAAACCCCCTGGGATACAAAAATAAATATCTTTATTTTTAACATTAACCACGCTAAGTATACTTAAATGGACTGGCCCATCTCTTCAACCTGAACAAAACTATTTAAAAGAAAATTTCAAAATAAGTTCCAATAGAAAAGCAAACATTGCATGCCATGACCAGACTGCACAGATGTGCCGACAGACCGATCTTGGTCAGCACCAGCCCCTAGCAAGCTAAATATTGAAATCAGTTACCTCAGAATCTCTTCTTCGGCAATCCCTCGTGGATTCTTAATGATGATCTCAGGTGGCACATCTGGATACTGAAAACGGAGCAACAGGGAATGAATCTTCAATAATCTTGAACATTTAATTCACAGTAAAATTCTTGATATATCTAAATAAATATTATATGTATATTACATAAGAAGTTTTATTCAAAAGATATGAGAAAGGAATACAAATATCCTTCAGCTGAAGGAAAATAAAATTATATTTCATTTTACCGATACTGTGTGATATTTTGGTCAGAAACCAAAATTGTATAGGTAATGTATAAAAGTTTTTATAGCTGATGGGATTTGAATTCAGAGCGGTGAGAACTTAGACGTATGAGTAATTTTTTAGACCCACCTGTTTCGGTGTAAAGTACATATCAGTAGGTATGACTGGAATATTGTGTTCAACTCTTTCCCAGGTAATTTTGTGAAATATACTTACATGTATACTTTTTTGAATTTGACTCTCTTCATTTTAAATTCTTTATTAATGTAATCAAAACGAACAACAAACAGTATAGAGCCTGATCCCACATGAGGTAGCTAGCCCATATGGCTCTATACTTGTGGAATGGACAAATCATTATGCCACTTTTAATAATAATTATATTCTTTTCCCAGCAGGACTTTATGTCCCACTGACACAGTTAAGGCCATATTGTGACTTTCCTGCTTATATAACAAACTAAAAGGCCTCTTCCCAATTGAAATTTTTCCCCAAATCGAGAGGCTAAGCCCTCCTCCCAATTAAGTGAGAAAAAGCGCTGGGCCATATTGTGACTTTCCTGCTTTACTGGTGAAGAAAATCCTTGGTGTCCCTCAACCAGTTCATTTAATATCAGGCATAAGGTGGCAGAAGAAGCACAGATTGGCTGGATAGTTCCCTTTCATGAAAGACACTCACTCCAAAAGGTACAGACATACCTGTGTTGACAAGCCAAGTATGAGAGTCATGCAAACATATCTCTTCTCAAGATCTTCTCCTGTTGATGGGTGTAACTGTAGAGTAATCTTGTCAACTTCATTCCTAAAATATATTATTAAACCTGTATTAGAAAAATTATTAAAAACGACACTCCCAATATTGATTTAGACTAAAGAAGCTGTTAAGTCATTAAAAGTGAATCGCTTAATAAATTGCAATTAAAAGTTTGAAAATTCACTATAATGAATTTCTTTTAGTCAATGTCAAAAACATAAACATTATTAAGCCCTATGTATATTTATAAAATAAAAAAAAAACATTACTTACAATTTTTGGAAGATTTTTTAAAAAAAAAAAAAGAACAAAAAGAATTGGAATCATAAAAATATATACGGTATGATTATATTAAACAATCATGCCGAGTAAACTACCACTGCTAAATACCTGCAGTGCCAAATTAATTTACGTAAAAAACAGCTGGGTTTAGGTTAATTGGGGTTAGGTGATTTAAACCTCTCGTTCTACCTTATTATTATTATTTGATATTTAAACCTATATATTTTTTTTAAAGATATACAAATATCATAAGAAATGTAAAAATGTACCAAAATTATTAAGCAAATTATGTAATAAATCCTCAATATATTCCTGCTCATTTTCTGACTGATCAAAATAATTATCAGTGTCACTAGAACTAGAATTATATATATTTTCATTATCAAACAATTGTTCTAAGACATCTTGCACATGCATTCGTCTATTTTGCCCTTCTGCCATTTTTCTGAACTTTTTACAAATGAATAAAAACCGAAAACATTCGCACCATCCTGGATAATTTATGTTTAACTTGACCCAAGATTTTGGAAACAATTAAAATAATTTCTCCTGCATTTACTGGTAATTATTTCTTATCAGTATGACAGTGCTGATTAGTGTTGGCAGCTGTGGTAAGGACATGAAATCCGGGATATGTCGGTGCTGGCATGATATTTAGGTTAACAGATAAATTAAATACTATTCTAAAATTTATACTTTTCATTCTTCTGAACCTCCAATTCTTCAATGTATATTGCCTCTAAAAGCTCAATTTCTTCAGCTAAGCCCCTGAAAATTTGGAAAAATATATTTTTTTTTAAAATTGGGCATAGATGATTATAAATTTTACAAACACAAGGGAACAGCAGCAACTCTGAATTAACTACATTCATTACTTATAGTAGGCCTATTAGATTATAATGGTCCCACCCTGTAACAGTCAAATGGTTAAATCCGAGCCATAATAAACTAGAAATGTGTCCATAGGACACGGATGCCCCCACACGCCACTGTTCTGTCAATCTTATGACTCTAGGTCAAATATTTTTTGGACTACATGTGCCACAAGTTGAAAACTAAAAATCAACAAAGGGCCATAATTCTGTTAAATTTGGTCGCAGCAAAAATTCCTTCCTTTACTACCATCTACACATTAAGGTTGTAAATCCCTGGAAGTTTAAGCAAAATCTGCCATCCGATTTAAGAGGAGTTGCATTCACAAAATTTCTACATCAAAGTATATAGTGAAAAAATCATCAAAGGGCCATAATTCTGTAAAATTTGGTCACAGCAAAAATTCCTTCCTTTACTACCATCTACACCTTAAGGTTGTTCATCCCTGTAAGTTTAAGCAAAATCTGCCATCCGGTTTAAGAGGAGTTGCGTTCACAAAATTTCTACATAGTATATAATGAAAAAATCATCAAAGGGCCATAATTCTGTTAAATTTGGTCGCAACAAAAATTCCTTCCTTTACTACCATCCACACATTAAGGTTGTTCATCCCTGTAAGTTTAAGCAAAATCTGCCAACAGGTTTAAGAGGAGTTGCGTTCACAAAATTTCTACATAGTATCTAGTGAAAAAATCAACAAAGGGCCATAATTCTGTTAAATTTGGTCACAGCAAAATTCCTTCCTTTACTACCATCTACACATTAAGGTTGTTCATCCCTGTAAGTTTAAGCAAAATCTGCCATCCGGTTTAAGAGGAGTTGCGTTCACAAGATTTCGGGACGGACGGACTGACTGACTGACTGACTGACGGACGGACGGACAAGTGCAACGCTATATGCTCCCACATTGTGGGGGCATAAAAATCTTAGGAATGATTAAAATAATTTTGTTCAAATATTTATTAATTTTTTCTTCGTATCTGTTTTAAACTTTAGGTACAGTATATTACTTCTTCATTTATTTCTACTTTTAATTCTTATTATTTACAATGTCAACTTTTAATAATTAAAAAACATTGTTATCAATATGTCATATAACTAGGTACGAAAAGATTCAGGTACGAATGATATTTTTTAGAAAATAATAAATTAACCATGTCACATAAGCAAATTCAAAGCACTGGATTAAAACAGATTAAAATTCTTTTTGGGGGAATAACTTGAAAAAGCACAATTTCAAAGAAAGCAGTAAAAATGCTATATAAATCAAATAAATATTTCACAACCCTTCGTCCATCTCAATCGCAACCTTTCGGTCCTTTCCGTCAATCTCAGCAATATAACGAAAATCAAAATCAAAGTGCTGAAAGCACTGCATGCGTCGGGATTGCATAAATGCTGCCAAAAAGGGTTAAACATCAGTCATGTTGCACCAAGAAATTTCAATATTCACAAAGGGCAGTAAAATTATATGCCTGAGTTTTATGGACCTTGGATAGATACCTCCAATTATGATCCAAAGACACGTGTAACATGTGAGTATTTTCTTTTTTCTTTCGAAAACTGATGTTATATGTTTAAGTTTTAAATGAATACAACCAGTATATACATGTCTTTCTAAAGATTGATTTGCTTGCAAAGCTTTAACTACGAATTTTCTAACCTCAAAAAAGGCTATTACTCTGTTAAATCTATGTTAGATTCATGGCCTTCATTAAATGATCCCGAAAACATATACATGTATTTGTATTTGGTTTCAAATTAATGCCTTCAGATCTGAAAATTGATGTAACATACAAAAACTTAAAGAACTATACCGAGGTAATTTGGCATGATAAGACTGGAAATGATTTTCCAATAAGGTACCCTAAGGTTCCATTTTATGAAGGACTAGCTAAATAACTTGTTTCATGCGCCCTCTAGATATCTCTGTGTTCCCAGACTAATTATTCTAGTTGTGGAAAATGACCCAAAATTGAAAAGCATTATGTACAACGCTGTTCACCCAAATCAGGCTAAGAAAAGCACAAAGTATGATTTTTCATATTATTTCTGAGTATATTTCTTAATTATCTTTTGCTTATATTTCTGTTTTAAGTGCACCGGCTGATCTACACATGTATGTAGGAAATTCATTTTTTTAGACTTTTGGTCCCTTTGACCAAGAATTTTCCGAGCTAACAAATTGCTAATGATCAGTCGAGTAATGGCCTCTATTTATGGTCACGAAAACATAGTAAATACCTTCAATCAGTACCTTAAGTTCACGATCGAAGGACCATAATTCTGTAAAACCCACCTTAGAGTTAAGAGTTTTAGAGAAAATTTGTTTTGGAAAGTGACATCCAATTAAAAAACTTTAGTACCCTTCAATGATATTACATGAGAAAAAATAAGCAAGATTAATTTGGTTCAAAAATGGTCCATAATTCTGTAAAAAAATCCATGAGCTAAAGTTATTGGCTTTGCATCTCCTATTACGGAGGATCTCAAAAGTATTTGTGAAGTTACGAGTACATATTTTAGTGGCGCTTAACAAGCTGGACGTTGTCCCCCATATCTTTATTCAAAGTGGCATGCCAACGCGGACACTGACATTAAGTTGAGAGGGATAGCACCACTATTCTTCGAATAGTTGAGCTATTAAGTTTATTAGACTCCAGTCTTTTTTATACAAGGGACATGACACGTACCTTGCAATATTCTAAATTTTATTTGTTCCATTTTAGGTCACCGTCACATAAATTATTTTATAAGAAAGTAATATTTTCCTCAAGAATTAGGGACATTTAAAACATGTGGTGGAACAGTGCACATGTATACATGTATTATGCAGACAAAATAGGTAAAGATTTGTTAAGGGAGAGAAGATTTACTCTGTTATTACATTGCCGGCCCATACAATTTCGTTTGGGGTGGGGCTTATGTTTGAAATAACCAAACTCCCCCCTTTTGCAGGGGGTGTCTGGGGGTACCCCAGGAAAAAAAATGAAATTTACAAACTGATGGCTTTTGGTCATTTTAGATGCACATTTCGAAACTGAAGTGTCTACATATTTTTCACAAAAATTACATACATGTATTACTTTTGCAAAGTAACATAAACGCTTTCAACATATTCTGACATTATGTGTGTGCTTTATATGATCAAATCTTGTACTATTTGTTAAAGAGCCACTTTTCGATTGTAGACGTCGAAATCCCATGTGAAGATGATATATAGCTCTGGACGCGCTAGAGGGTGCATCCGTCGCAAAATTCGGTAATAAAAACACTCGCACATTGAAAAATTCTGTTTATCACTTCTATCTGAAGATTCACTTAGGCCTACTGTAATAAGTTAAAATGACATTCGCCACAAAGCTAGACAATTTCTCATCTTTAAATGGCAGCGAAGGTGGTAAATTGTTGAAACTTGCAGGCATCTCTTTCGTGGACTCATGCCTCAAGTCCTGTTTTATGTGTGTTTATTTGGTGTGGATGCAGAGAATACGAGATGTTGATACTATGAGTTTATTTCTTAGACTGTCTAACAATATGAAGTCATTTGGTCAGTACACTAAGTAGGCGGAGCCTAAAGGTACTGTATGCAATATTTAATGAGGAATTAATTAAATATGAAACAATACATATTTAATGTAGAATTAAATATGAAACAGTCCAACCCAAAAAAGTTAATTTCAGTAGCTAAAGCAACCAAAGGCAATTACGTATACTTCAGCTACAAATTGGATATTATCTATCAAGATAAGGGTTAAAGCACTAGCCTCTGTAATTGTGAAGAAGTGGAAACAATTTCACATTTTATAGAGCATTAGTTGCACCTTTTATGAAACATCAAGGGAAAATCTTAAAAAAATATTTTTTTAAGACATGATTAAGAGTTTTTACAAAAGAACTACATTTTGCTTGCAGACATACCAGAAGACCAATTTAAAGACCGTATACAAGAGTTGTCAAGTTGTCAATCATTGCAAATGAATTTTGAAGATTAATATTAAATTTATTTTCTATAGCTCTATCTAATCGCTCTAATACCAAGGGAATACAGTTAAACTAAAAAAAAAAACCACGGCGATAGCCCTGTCTAATAGTTCTTATCTAAAATCAGATCATCGTTTTCGCTCCGGTACTCTTCGCTACGAGCGTGGGGTAGTGCAGCGACAGTTAGAATATGATTAAGGGAATACAGTAAAGCTCACACAACCCACGGTGATTGCCTCAGGGAAAACAGTAAAACTTACACAACCCACGGTGATAGCCCTAGATAGCCCTATGTAAGATTACTTTTCTCGAATTAACCCGAGGTGATAGCCCGAGGAAATATAGTAAGCTCACACAACCCACGGTGATAACCCAACTAATACTTCCTTTCTCAAATTCATGGGCGATGACAGCCTCAAGGAAGACAGTTAAGCTCACGAAACCCATGGTGATTGTCCTATTTAATAGTTCTTATCTAGAATTAACACATGGTGACAGTCTTAGGTAATAGTTTAAACCAATAGTTTTTATCCCCCAAACAGTTTTATAAACCCGAAGGTGGTAGCAGCAGGGGATACAGAAAAGCCCACACAACGCACAGTGACAGCCTTATCTAAATAGATCTTATCTCAAATTAACCCCTGTTGATAACAACACTAAAGGAATACAGTAAAGCTCACACAAAATAACGGTAATAGCCATCTAATAATATCATTCCTCAAACTAACAAACGGTAATAGCCCAGGGAATACAGTAAAGCTCACACAACATAAAGTGATCTCAAATTACCCCAAGGAATACAGTAGAGCTCGCACTACTTACGGTTATAGCCCTATCAAATAGTATCATTTCTCAACCACGGTGATAGCCTGATAGGACTACAGTAAAGCTCACACAACCCACTGTGATAGCCCTATCTAATAGATCTCATCTGAAATAACCCAGGGTGGTAGCCCAGTTTATACAGTAAAGCTCACACAACCCGCGGTTATTGCCCTATCTAATATTATTATCTCAAATTCACCTAAGCCCCAGGGAATACAGAAATGATCACCCAACCCACAATGATAGCCCTATCTAATATTTCTTATCTCAAATTAATTTACGGTGATAGTCCAAGGGAATTGAGAAAAGATCACAAAAGTTGCGACAAAACCCACGGTGAAAGCCCTAGCTAAGAGTTCCTTTCTCAAATTCACCGACGATGACAGCCTCAGGGAATACAGTAGCGTTCACACAACCCAGCCCTATCAGATAGGTCCTGTTTCAATTTCACCCACAATGATAGCTACAGGGAATACAGAAACACACACAACTCATGGTGATAGCGCTATCTATCTGATAGATCTTATCTCAATGTAACCCACGGTGATCGCCCAAGGGAATAAACAAAAGCTCAAATGAACCCAAGGTGATAGCCACAGGGAATACGGGTAATCTCACACAACCTACAGTAATAGCCATATCTAATATTCTTATCTCAAATTAGCCCACGTTGTTAGCCCCAGGGAATACAGTAAAGCTCACATAACCGAAAGATAGCCCTGTCCAATAGTTCTTATCTTAAATTCACCCACGATGATAGCCTCAGGGAATACTGTAAGGCTGACACATATCACGATGATAGCCCTATCTAATAGTTCCTATCTCAAATTCTCCCACGGTTAGAGGCTGGCTCAGGGAATACAGTAAAGCTTACACAACCCACGGTGATAGCCGTATCTTATGGTTCTTATTACTAATAAAACCAGAATGAGAGTCCTCAGGAAAAACAGAAAAAGCTCTCACAACCCGCGGTTTTCCCTCTCTAATAGTTGTCATCATGAATATACCGTCGGTGAGAGCCTCAGGGAATACAGGACAATTAACTTAACCTACGGTGATAGCCAAATCTAATAGTTTTTATCGCAAATTCACCCACGATGATAGCTTCAGGGAATACCGTAAAGCTCACACATATCACGATGATAGCCCTATCTAATAGTTCCTATCTCAAATTCTCCCACGGTTAGAGGCTGGCTCAGGGAATACAGTAAAGCTTACACAACCCACGGTGATAGCCGTATCTTATAGTTCTTATTACTAATAAAACCAGAATGAGAGTCCTCAGGAAAAACAGAAAAAGCTCTCACAACCCGCGGTTTTCCCTCTCTAATATCATAAATATACCGTCGGTGAGAGCCTCAGGGAATACAGGACAATTAACTTAACCTACGGTGATAGCCCAATCTAATAGTTTTTATCGCAAATTCACCCACGTCGAGAGCCTAAGGGAATACAGTAAAGCCCACACAACCCACAGTGATATCCCTATCTTATTGTTCCTATCTCAAACTCACCCACGATGAATGTCTTAGGGAATATATAGTAAAGCTCATATAACCCACGGTGATG